ATGAAAGTAGGCTAAAACTAGAACCACATTGGGTTGGACCCTTTATTATCACAAGAGAAATGCCCTTCAATACATTTCAACTCGCAGACATGTCAGGTAAAGTAAAGGAGGACCTAGTGCATAGAGACCGACTAAAGGAAGCACAGCTAAAAAACCCAATGACACCACCAACCAAATACTGGTATTACAAGTCCGATAGACAGGACTCTTCAGGAGAAGAACCTCTTTAAGTGTGGGAGTATGTTATGATTTAAATCCTAACTAGTCACTACCGATCACTTGAACACTACTGATCGAACACCTGGAATTCCACACAGACGATCAATCGCACTCAGTGATACACACGTTATTTAATACATCTTGAACCCTCCTTTTGGAAGCTTGCCCTACGTTATCGGAAGCTCTCCCTCCGAGGCTATCTCTATATAAACTCCTTTGAACACTATCAATAAAGCATCAACCTTTTACCGGTTCATCAACTATTCAGATAACCTCTCTGATTCGTATTGGACATCCTCCGGTCCTCCTCCGCTTGCCCTCGATTCATAACACTCTCGAGCATCGGCCATACATACCAGAAAATACCGGATCCCGTCCGATCTCCGAAGTCAAACTGGTAATGGCCTAGTCAGTACTACGGTGGGGGACCACGTGGGAATACTAGGTGCTGATGTTTTCTTCCGAATTGCTCCACTACACAATACTCTTTTGCTTCTGTTATGTGTGCGTGTGTCTGTTCTTCCTTTGCTACTGCTGTCTTTGGTATAAAAGAGTTTGCTTTCCAGATACAATGCTGCTCTCTATTCCCTAGTCATTATTGCTGAAGGGCAATTTTAGATAGTATATATAAGAAAGGGTTGTCGTATAATGCCTCCTTGGCTCAGTTGGCAGAGCGTCTGCCTAGTAAGCAGAAGGTCGCTGGTTCGATTCCGGCAGAAGGCATGTTTTACATGTTGAACCTTTTATACTTTTATACTTGTACAAGAAAATGTCTTTATTGTCTACTTCAAAGGGCTGTGCTAAGCATCCAAATGTTCAAAACATTAAGTGGCCGTTGCCCATGTCATTTACTAAATCTGGCTTTGGCTCTTATGTGACTCTTGAGTAAAAGCAAGCAAAATTACTCCAAAAGCAATGAAGAGAGTGGGATTCGAACCCACGCCTCCGAAGAGATCACGGCCTTAACGTGACGCCTTAGACCAACTCGGCCATCTCTCCATTCTTGTGGTTTGTTTACCATCGTTCTAAATGTCAATTTAACTTACCCGCCATTTAGATCAAAATCTATTGCTCGCCGTTGGTGGCTTAGTCAGGTAAGTGCAATTATAGGAGCTCTCCACGTACCTGCTGTCTCATTATAGACTTTTTTTGTAACGCAGTTGATTAACAAGCTAGTAACGGTGCTATTGTACAATTTATCTCCATATTATATTTTAAATCAGGATCAAATAACAAAACCGAACATAGCTCAGTTGGTAGAGCGGAAGACTGTAGTGTTATATAGCAATCTTTAGGTCCCTGGTTCAAATCCGGGTGTTCGGAATTTTTGGTTTGTGCAAACCCTATTCCTACGGGTATCACTTGTGGGTAGAGCCTTGCAGCAAAGGCTCGCCTTTTTCTTGTTGGATGTGGCTCTTTACATACGATATTTGCAATACTTTATGTTATTGCTTTACCACCGTATCTGCAATGGTTTTAAGAAATATTGGCCCTTCCCATAGTGCATTGCCCTAAGTATACAATTTTTGCTTTGTTGCCCCTGAACGATTGCTTCCTTTTTGATACTTGTTGGTGGGAATACCGGTTGCCAGGGAAAACAAAATATAAAAATGCGCTCCTGGGTGGGCTTGAACCACCAACCTCCTGATTAACAGTCAGACGCGCTAGCCAATTGCGCCACAAGAGCTTCAACTGACAAACGTTGGTTTCTCAAAATACTTGTATCAGTGTTCATCTTGGTTGATAGAAGCATTTGCATAAAACTAGCTTAGCAAGGATTCTCTGGATGGTGCACCTGCCTCCCAAAGTCAGCCATATCAGTATGTTCTATGCCGGGTGGATTCCCTAACCCGACGGTTTCCATAATTCTTTGAAGCATCACGGAAATCATCTTTTAAGCGTTTGATAACCACTGTAGAATGGCAAACTCCGACCATATAGGAAACCAACACTTGACAAAAACGACATATTCCATTAAAACTTTGTACACTCAATAAGGCCCGGCTAGCTCAATCGGTAGAGCGTGAGACTCTTAATCTCAAGGTTGTGGGTTCGACCCCCACGTTGGGTGATGTATATTTTTTATTCTTTGTTTTTCACTTTCCTGGAATTGAGCAATAATTTTTGTGTTTTGAACGGTTGTCTGTATATGATATTTAAGCCGGATAGTGATATGGAAGAATGAAACAATGAATCCCAATAGAGTAATTATTGGACGTATAGCTCAGTGGTAGAGCAATTGACTGCAGATCAATAGGTCGGTGGTTCAAATCCGCCTGCGTCCTCATCTTTTTTGCTAATTGAAGCGTTCATTAAAATACAATTTCGCCTAGCCACCAATTACATCTACTCACATAAATATAGCATTCAAAAGATTGATGAAATTCATTTAGAATAATCCAAAATGGAGGACCTGGGTATCGATCCCAGTGCCTCTCGCATGCTAAGCGAGCGCTCTACCATCTGAGCTAGACCCCCATATATATACACCTCGGTGGAAAACCACTTATCTTTTTTAATTCTTCAATAGATGTACTCGCATGGCAAAGAAAATACTGGCTAGCATTGAATTGAGGACCCTGTTAACAATGGTAATGTGTATGTCTCTTATTATCAACTTTGTGCGATCAAGGGGGCATTCATTGATGTATGACTGATGGCTATTTTGGAGCATTTTTGTTATCCACACTACAGATGCTTTTGTTTCTTTCGGTTTGTTAATAGAAATCTCTCTGTGGCTACGCTATTAAGAGCTTCTGCCGTTTTCCCATATATAGCGCAATCTAGAAGTACACTAAATGTGAAAAGTAATCAAGCCTAACAGATCAGATTTCCGTATTTTCTAAGACGGTTGTTTGCACTGGTACTGGCTCAATGGTTTAGTGGTATAATTCTCCCTTAGGGTGGGAGAGGTCCTGGGTTCAATTCCCAGTTGAGCCCTTCTTTTGTTTGTTTTCCTGTCAAAATGGATTGTTAGTAAGAATGGGGTACTCTGAGCTGCAGCAGCAATTAATGTTGTGGATTCCCCTTGGTAATTCTTGATTGACAAGTAATGTAAAAATGCAATTTTTCCATCACAACAGAGCCCATCCTCCAAAGTTAAGCATCTGTTGTGGGCACATATCTTGAGTTTTCAGCTGTAACTTTTGTTCCAAGTCTGCCAAAATAATACTACAGTTTGTCCAAGTGTCTATAACAACCAGATATTGCTTCTTGTTGATACTTATAAGTATTTGTGCTACCTGAATATCCTCTTGTGGTTGTTCCTCAGCCTTTTCTTGTATATTATTCATATGTTGCTCCATGTGGTTTAACTCTTGCTTCAACATAGGCTACTTTAAAAGACTTCAAATTGGAACAGGGATTTCCTGATTCCTTATTTGGTTTGCAACTTGGGTGACATCCATTAGTGTTGTTATGCCAGATGGTTTTATTGTTCCCCCTCCAGTTTCTATTATCATGCATTCCATTTTTGGGGATTCATCCTTTGTATCCATTGACTTTTTTCTAACATATATATAGAATCTGTCATGTCTTCTACTATGTTGACTTTGGAATGGCTCCTATATTTGCCTTCCTCTTGCAAGGTATTTCCTTCTCTTTGTGTATTTGCTACTACAGTTGGTACTAACTTGAAATAAGGACAATTCCTCAAGATATGTCTGGGTTCTCCACAACCAAAGCATCTTTGTTCCCTTCTTGGAGGGTTGTGGTTTGAACTGGGGATAGAACTAGAATTTGTCTTCTGACTGGCTAACAAATTAAGTTCCATTCAATCAAATTTAGCTGCCAGTTTATCCAGTTGACTATCCCATGATGTTGTTGGTGGAGTTAATAATAGTGCATGTGTTTTCTCATTGATATTCTCCCTTGTAGGGCCTCCTAGACATTGTTCCTCCTCCTCAGCAAAAGCAATTGCTTCACCCAGAGTTGTGGGTCTACATTTTCTGACCTCCATCTGGATCTCAGAGTGAAGAACATTGAGAAACTTTGATCTTATCTTCCTCCAGTGAGTATCCCAACCTTGCAAATAATCTTAATACTTATGTGGCAATTTCTGCTACTGATTCATCTTTCTGTCATAAATTCATCAGGTTTGACACCATGCATCCATTTGTGCCATTGTGACATATTTTTCCTTGAATCTTTGCTTAATGGTTTCCCAATCTGTCAAAAGCCCTTCACTTTCTTCTTACCTAGTAGCTGCTAGTTCCTTCATGTAAGCACCTGCAATTGTTGGAAGATCTGCTAGATCCCATCAATTTGCCTTTTGACTTACTTCACATTCCTGTAGCCAAGCAATAGGATATTTGGTCTGATATCCCAAGAAATTGCTAATTGTGACCAGTCTTTGTTCCCATTGTAGCATGGACATCTTCTGTTCTTTTTGTAAGAGATAGATTCCTTTTGTTTAATACTACCCCCTGCTGTGAGCACTAATTCTGTTATGTACTTAAAGAGTAATGTCCTTTAGAGAGTACAAAAAGGGATAATATGTATGTTATCTTGTAGATTTGACAGGGTAGTGTAAGAATATCTCTTTAAAAGGTTAGGGTGTTGACCTTGTAGAAATATATTTAAGCTAGTTTTTGCTCCCACTATGCTTTTCTGCCTATAACCAAAAACTCCCTTTTTACTTAGTTGCTTGTTTGATATTTATACCTTACTGTGAGTCTGGTGATTTGTCTTTGATTTGCTTTTCCCTGACTACTAAGTTGTCTTTGTATGTGTTGATGTCACTTAACATCAAGTGACTCTTTACTCTGTAACAACTCAATAAGGCCTGGCTAGCTCAATTGGTAGAGCATGAGACTCTTAATCTTAAGGTTGTGGGTTTGACCCCCACATTGGGTGATGTATATTTTTTATTCTTTGTTTTTAACTTTCCTGGAATTGAGCAATAATATTTGTGTTTTGAATGGTTGTCTGTATATGATATTTAAGCCAGATAGTGATATGGAAGAATGAAACAACAAATCCCAATAGAGTAATTATTGGACATATAGCTCAGTGGGTCAAATCCACCTGCATCCTCATTTTTTTTGCTAATTGAAGCATTCATTAAAATACAATTTTGCCTAGCCACTAATTGCATCTACTCACATAAATATAGCATTCAAAAGATTGATGAAACTCATTTAGAATAATCCAAAATGGAGGGCCGGAGTATTGATCCCAGTGCCTCTTGCATGCTAAGCAAGCACTCTACCATCTGAGCTGGACACCCATATATATACTGTTGAAGTATGTACTACCAAGGGTGTTAACCAGAGATTGGTGTTCAAAGGTTGAGGCTGGAAGGAAAGACTGCTTTATTTTCTAACATGTTTTGCTAATTTATACTTTGGTGAACTACATTTGCTATATGCATGTCTTAGCCATTTTGCCTAATTTTGGTAATACTCAATGGATGGTTCAGGGGTAGGTCTCCAGTTGTGATGGTTTGAAGATGCTGATGACCTTACCACAACAATGCACCTTGGTTGAAAACCACTTATCTTTTTTAATTCTTCAAATTTTGTTGCCCATGTCATTTACTAAATTTGGCAACTTTGTAAGTATTACACTGAAATCTGTAAAGTTGAGGTGATAGAAGTTTGTCAATTGCAGTTGGTGTGCACATATACAGAGGCTAATAGACTTGTTTGATTGTACCATGCCATGGTGTGTAGCATAGAGTTTGGTTGTTTAGAACAATTGGGTGTAATATTGTAGCTACCAGTAGGCAGGATTGCTCTTGGACCATTTTCATTTTATGGGACAATATTGCACACTATGGTACAATCTGACATTATTGATTTTTTGTACCTTTGATTTGTATTTCAAGGATCATGGCTTAAATGCTTTTTGAAATAACTATAAGATGTTTGTAACTTTCTTGTAATAAAATGCTTTTTTAAATTTTTTCAAAATTAGAAACTATTGATTTAAAAGCATTTGGCACTTACTTCAAAATCTTTAGAATCTTGTGTGCAGCAATAATAATCTGATAGTACAGAATTTTCTTAGATGACCACTTTTATTTTTTAGAGCAAATATATATCTAGATGATAATATCTTAATTTTGAAAGAAATTTCCAACACCTACTTTGATGTTGGTTAAGACTTTTTTATGTAGCCATTTTTGGGTTAAGCCAGACTTTTCCAGCTGCTAAATATTTAACCTAGTTTGAATGAAGCTTTTTCCCAATAATAAACTTTTGATTTCAACAAAAGCTATTTCCAAGATGTAAAATTCTCTTAAGCTCTTTTAGTTTTCACCAAAAATACTTTTAAGATGTGAGAAGTCTCTAGACAACAAGCTGTGTCACATGTATAGTGAATATTTTCAGTATGATAAGAGTTTTTTAAATCTAACCAAAAATATTTCCAAGATGCTAAAAGTTTTGAGATGACAAGCTTGGGCTAAGATCAAGCAAGTATTTAAAGTATTGACCAATGCAGATATATCATACAAAAAAGTATTTGGATAAAAAAATGATTGACATAAAGTTTGTAAAAAAGAATTTTTGGTCCAACAACTAACCTTTGATTTGTTGTAAAAATTCGTATTTCCACCTAAATAGTCACCTAACTTAGTCACTTAGATCATCACCTTCAAATCCTAGAGAATACTGACCAAATTCCTTGTCGGGATTTACTTAGAATATTTTCACCAAAATACCAGGTACCCAGAGCATCAAAATTCTCAAAGTTGGCCAAACAGCCCCAAACTTTGCACACATGTTCTTGGGACCTTCCTTAACCTATTCTACGTGTTTGTAATGCCAAGATCAGGTAAAAGTATAAATACTACTTTTACATTCAATAAATCATTAAGTGAAAACCACATAATCTACTTGTTCTCCAAATCACTTCCAATATCTCCAAGACTCTTACAACATGATTCACCACCCTTACATATATAAGCCATTACATTCTTGTTTGTACTATAGGTCTTGCTTTTTTCATGCTACAATTATCTTCTCACAACTTCACCCAATTAGTTAACTTATCCTTTTTAGAAACCCCACACTGAAAACACCAATGATACAAGAAGCATATGACTGGGCAGAACTACTACCTGGACACTTGGAATCAAGAATTTTTTCTCCACAGACTATACTAGAAATCCAAAGAAAAGTGACAGAAAACAGCAGATAACCCACTGAAGACCATGAGGTAGTCTACAAGGTAGTAGAGTAATATATATATCCCACAGACAAGTTTATTTATATAGTTGTTATAGTTCATTTGTCAGTATTTATCTTATCAGTATTATCTCATTCTGCTTTGCCCATATTATCAGTATTATCCCTATATGATATTCACCATGATGTGTTGTTGGCATTAGTTATCCCAACTGTTATTCAGCTTTGTGATCTGCAGATGTATTTACATTAGGCAGGTATCCATATCAGTACCCACAACATATGATCTATATCTGTATAACCATCTCTAGCATTGAGAACTATATATGGTTTATCTATGCCATAGGTGATTCAAACTACTGATCCCTGATTATTTGGATGTATTGTGCCTTTTAGTACCTTCTAGAACCTTCTCAAAGTATTTTGAGCTCAAAGTGATGTCATCATAAGTATAAATGATGCCTGAAATCTTCTATAACCTTGTCATTAGTAATTACTTGGCCATCTGGAAATGTATTTAAGGGAAGTCAATATCCCATCAATAAATCATCTCTCTATCAGTGACAGTGGCCCCTCATTGATTAGTAGCTAATCACTGCACCAATCTTCAGCAATTACACCTTGCACTATGCATAAAGGAGCTTCTCACAGTAGTGCACAAGACACACAGAGGTCTTTGGAGACACTTGGAGCACCTAGGATGCCAGAGAAGCTGGTGCTTTTACCAGAGTGACATATTGACAGAGACACTGCAGTTTAGACCCAGATATTATTGCCCCCATCAGACACCTCACACCCTGTGAGTTGTGTACCTTCTCCCACATGTACCTCTACACCACCACAACAAGAAAGCTAGTGCAGGAAATGTATCATATGTACCATTTGTCATGAGAGCAGACTTGATAGCCAAGTACCAACATGGATTTGGACATCTGGGGTCAAGGGACCACACAAATAGTATCTAGAAATGTTTAGTGACCCAGAATGTCAGAAGACATAAAGCACCTTGCCCATAGTGGCCAAGAGTGCCAGCTCACCCAAAATGCTCAGCTGAACAACTTGCAAATGTACCCTATACCACCTGACAAACCATTTCACAGATGGCCACTTGACTTCATTAGGATTTTGCCCAAAACAAGTTCTAGAAAGTAGTATGTCCTGGTGAGGATTGTTTGTTGTACTAAATGGCAGTTTCAAGAGCACTCAAAGAAGCAAGCCAAAACAAAATAGCCTGGCTCATATATGAGGAAATAGTGATGCAGTATGGAGGCCCAGCCAAGATTTTGACAGACAGAGGTGCCAATTTCATTGCAAAATATTCTGGGACACCACTAGGAGTTACTGAACATCACTACCTCCAGACTTTGGCCTACCATCTACAGACTAATGGAGTCATAGAGATACTCAATGGACTCTTTGGAAGAATGCCAACTAAACACTGTAAAGGAGCTATACATAAATGGGATCTACTACTGCAGAATTAGTTGACATAAAGAAAAAACTGTAAATATATTTACATGATGCATTTTCTTACTCACATGTCCCTTGCCTGACCTCCTATATATGGCTCCATCTCCTTGGTAAAAGCTTTTGCTTCACACAGAGCTGTGGGTTTACATTTTCTGGCCTCCAATTAGGCCCTATGTAGAATAGTATCAAGAACTCTTAGATCCTATCTTTATCCAAAGAGCTTGAAATCTTGAGAGCAGTATCAATACTTCTGTGATAGTTTCTGCTATTGATTCATCATTGTCTAATAAATCCCTCACATTTGCCACCATGCATCAGTTCTTGCCATTGTAGCATATATTTCTTTCAATCATTGCTAAAAGGCTCCCATTGTGTTAAAGGTTTTTTGTTTTCTTTGTACCAAGAAGCTGTCAGATCCTTTATATAAGCACTTGATATCACTGAATGATCCCATCAATTTGCCTTTTGACTGACTTCACATTCCCATAGCCAAGCAATAAGATCTGTGGTCTGGTAATCCAAGAAATCACTGATTGTGACCAATCTTTGTTCCTGTTATAGTATGATAATCACCTGTTTGTCTTTTAAGAGATGGAATCTTTTTGCTTAGTATTACCCCTGCTTTGAGTACCAGTTCTGTTTCATGCTTACAGAGCATTATCCTTTAGGGAATATGGAAGTAAATAGTGGGAATGTGTCATGTAGATTTGACAGGGTTATGTAAGAATATCTCTTAAAAGACCAGGATGGTGAATTGTAGATTTCTTTCAAGGTAGTAGTCTCTTGTACTGTTCTTCCTACTTTGAACCAAACATGTTGTTCATTTGATTGTTTGATTGGTATTTATACCTTATTTTATGTCTAATGATTTGTCTCTATTAATTGAGCCAGCTGGAATTCTCTAAGCTGTGTAGACAATGATAGTGAGTGAGTCAAATCAATATTTATGTGTGACCACAAAAAATGCATCAATTAGCAATGTTGGTCTCTGCTTTGATATATTCAAAACAAATGCAAGAAGGATATTGGGCAGTAGCTGATAAGCTTTGTGAGGATCTAGGTGATCAGGGTAATGCAAGTTTTTAGATGCAAATACCATGTTAACAGCATTATCCAAGAGTAACTGAGATGTCTTGAAGCTAGATTCACTTTGTGTAATACTCACTACTTTGCTGTGTTTCAGTTGAGCATGATAATGGGAGCTTGCAGGTGACTTGCTGTACAAAAAAAAGCTTGTGGTTTGGCTCATAGCTT